GCAGCTGTTTATGTAGATCTTGGGTATTAAGACATCCTAATGACAAGGATATTCTCGAAAATTATAATTTTTATTGATTTTTCCATTGCCGTTGCCCCTTTATCAATCTTCACAGCTGCAGGCCTGAACGTGTTGGTTTAAGGAGTGGTGACTTTATATTCATACAAAGGAATATGTTGTGCTGTGACATGGTGTGTAAAATATTGGGGTATTTGCTACCAGAAAGCAAACAGGGATCAAGGAGTTCCTGTTCTGCACGATGTCCACTGGCTGTAAGGTCAAAGATTTCTCTTATCTCTTATTAGGTAAACAAATCTTGTTGCATTCCAAGAGGTTGGTGTTCATTAATTGGGGTGGGTTGGAGCCAGTGAAGGTCTGGGAGAGGGAGGAGTGTTGGAAGCAGATGAGGTGCAACCAACAACAGCACAAAATGAGACAAGGCACAAGTGTCCTTCCATCTTCCTGGTGCTTTTCCTAAATAATCCCAATTTCCTCAACAGTTTGACATCTCTTCCAAACATGGGAGAGCAACTCAAAAATAGCAGAACTGGTTGCCTAATAAATGTTTCAGCTGCAATCTTTCACTGGCTCAAAGGAGTTGTGTCTCAGGCTCTTCAAGCTTTAAGTAATAGAGTGGTTCCATTTTCCATGACTTTACTTGAAACATCTTGCTATGACAGGTCCAGAACTGAAATTTTATACACTTTAGTATTTTGGTCAAATGCAATTCGTTGCTGAATCCAGCCTGAATTTGTGATGAGTCTTTCTTCTCCCTATTTCTCAACTCTCCTCCTGGCTGGAGTATGGTTACTGCTCTGGAATGTCGTAGATCCTAAGTATCATGAGAACAATAAAATGACTTCCTTATACAGCTCTTGGCTCTCATGGATACCAGTCCCCACCTGCTTTACGGGATGCTCTCACCCGTAACTCACCAGGCACGAGTTGTTTGGACAAACCCTCTCTGCCCTCCTGTGAGCTGCTGGTGTGGATCCAAATGCATTTCCTCTTGGGGCTGAGGGAGACACGAGGGGAGCAGAGGGAACAGCAAGCCAGGAGAGACAGGGCACAAGAGGAATGAAGGGAGGAGACCCCGCAAGGAGCTCAGTGTCCCTGTGCCTGTCTGCAGGGGTGTCTTCTCTGCTGGTGCCTGGCAAACAAGACCTTTCATTGGTTCTGTTCCAGCTGTGCAAGGGCTCTCAGACATCCATGGTGAACACAGGCACAGCTGGATAACAAGGAGAACAGCAGGAGAACTGAAGGGGTGCAGAGGGAATCTCTAGAGGGTCAGTAGGAGGCCGCAGGGCTGAGCCAAGCAGCTGGAGATGACAGGGACAGAGCAGTGCCAGCAAGCATTCTACAGGAAAAGTCAGTTTGACCCTGTTTTCTCTCCTTGCTAGATGCACCACTGTACTTAAGGAATACATTTGTGACTTAATGACCAGTGAGAAATGGAACCAAGTGCAGCAGAGGGATGCCAGGAGGCCTATCAGGAGGGAAAAAAAAATAAAATCAGGTGTTCCCACGGCCAAGCAGCAAGGCTGTGTCCAGTGTCAGATTAAATCATTTAATCTTCCCCATCCCAAGCAAACATAGCTCAATCATAAATCTTGATTTCCTGATTCAATGAAACCATTCCTGTCTTACAATTTGCTTTGGTGTCACTTGTGCAAACAAAGCTTAGCACACAGGTGCAAGGAAAGTGAACATATGGGGAGAGTGGACAGGGAGCAGGGAACTGCGTGCCATGGGGGCTATTTCAGCTTGGGATGAGTGATTGGTACCTGCTTTCTGGCCCTTGCCATGCCCTGTTGTAGGGGAGAAGCATCACTGATGCTACAGTAGAATTATGGTATCAATTGAATTTGAAGGAGTTGGTGGGAGCTGACTGCTTATAACAATCAATTAAAAAGTGTGAACAACTTGCATCCTTTCTCCTATGCAAAGGACAAGCATCTCATCACATAGTTGACTTTTAAAGGAAGCATGGATCCAAACTGAAATTAATGTTTCCACACATTCTCGTCAAGTTCCAGCTCTGGTTAAATGAGCCAAGAGTCAAGAAAATGCCCCACTCCATCAGCCATCCCACCTGGTGGGAAGAAAGGTCATTTGGTGTAAAAATCCAGGTCAGTACTAGGGCACCATTTTGCTGCTGGCTCTTTTGCTCACAGAAAGGGTGATAAAGTTCTGGAATGGCTGCCCGGGGAAGTGGTGCAGTCACCATCCCTGGGTGTGTTTAACAAAACCTGGATGTGGCACTGGGGGCCAGGGTTTAGTTGAGGTGCTGGGGCTGGGTTGGACTTGATGATCTTGAAGGTCTCTTCCAACCCAGCCATTCTGTGATTCTGTAAATTCTGTGAATTCTGTGAATTTTTTTCTGCAACGTCAGGGTAGTGACCACTGCAAATGAAGCAAATGAAATTAAATGGAGGGGGTGGCTCAAGAGGTGCCAGCTGATGTCTTGACTACTGACCCAGCAACTCTGGTGCTTTGGTGTGCTCCAGCCAGCTCTGCAGCTGTCCCACCTCAGGGCATGGCTGAGTTGTATTTAATTTTTAAACTGTATTTAAGAAAGTATGAAATGCCATGCAGGAAATTAGGATTTGGGGTAGAAAATGTGAGGAACAGCCCTGTGAACACCAAAGTTAGAGGAGATGGAGGAGGAGGAGGTTCTCCTTGTGCCAGAGCTGAGATGTCCCCACAATCCACAGAGGCCCCTGTGCTGGAGCAGGAGGACATTTCCTGAAGGAGCTGTGGCCATGGATAGCTGATGCTGGATTATCCTGAAGGATAACCTGCTGGTTTATGCTGAAGGACTGTAGCACAGGGGAAGTACCTACAAATGAGCAAGAGAAAAGAGTGAGGAGGACAGAGCAGCAGAGACAAACTGCCACGGACTGACCACGGCCCCTGTGCCACTCAGAGAGGGGAAGGTACAGCAGGGGAATGAGGTGACCTTCAGCCTGGCAGAAGAGGGAGAGGGGAAGGTGTTGTTTAAGTTATATGTGTTTCTCTCCATACAAGTCTATTTTAACTGGCAATCAAGTTATTTTTCTATAGGCTGAATCTGTTTTCCATGTGACAATAAGTGATTTCCCCATTCTCATCTCAAGCCATGAACTTCTTCACCCTATGCTCTCCTCCTGCCCTGTTGAGGAGGAGGAATGAGAGAGGTGCTGGGTGGGTGTCTTGCAGCCAGCCAAAGGCAATCCACCACGCTTCCTTTTTATCTGGGGCACTGAGAAGCTGGGCTCCACACAGAGAATGCGACTCCTGGAGTGGGATGGCCATGCAGTGGTGATTGCCACTGGGATCTGTGTGCACCAATCACCCCGAGTGTGGGGTTATCTCACACGTTCTCCTTTTGTGCTCAATAGTAACACAAAAATTGATTTTTGAATGGTTTTAGTCTGGTTGTAGTTTTCTCTCCTCTCTCCAGGTCTGCAACAGTTGCCCCACTGTTTACCAAGCCACAACCCTCACCTCCTCCAGGCCCTCCAAAAGACCACTTCCTCCACCTGCCTTGCAAAGCCATGAGAATAAAAGTCTCCCTGTGTTTACAGAGTCAACAACCTGTTTGCATATCTAACAAACTAATCCTTTCATTTCTCCCCCCATTCTCACAGTGGAGTTTGTGCCTCCTTTCTCCTTTTGATCTTCCTTTGGCTCTCCTGTGCTGTGTGAGGTTGACTTTGGTCATTTGCTGTCCAGGACCGTTGCATTGCATGGTTCAGGAGGCACAAGAAACCTGTCCCTGGTTTTCTGAGAGGTAATTTGTTTGCCAATCAGTAATAAATCCAAAACTAACAGCAGGAACAAGCAGGATGTCAAATTTTTATCTACTAGAAGTTTCTGCACGTTCTCTCTAGAAAAGAAAATGCAGAATTCTGAGTTACACAATTTACTAAGATCCTGAGACGTTTAAAAGATTGATTGAGCTTTGAATATAACCCTGCTTTGAACTGAGGCTTGGACCAGGGGCTCTTCCAGGCTAAGTAGCTCTGTGATTCTGAGGTTTTAATAGTGTTCAAACATTGCCAAATTTGCTGTGCAAATGTGGGATCCTTGATGAGCACTTGGACTCACTGAAACTTCATCATGACCTGAGATACTTTATTTTCATAAAAATCCATTGTGAGTTCCATTGGATGCCCTTACTTTTCTATTACCTTAAATCTGTTGTAAATCTCAGGGGGAAAACTGTGCCAAGAGTTCTGCCAAGCTCTTAAGAGCTTCAGAAATAGAGAATTTGGGATGAATTTTCACTTATTTTCTATATTTGCCCCTACCCCCAGACTCAGAGCCCTTGGTCTCCGGGAAGGTTTTGTGCAGTTTAAAAAGTTTAAATAAGACCACTGAAGTTTGGGTTTGGTTTGTGTCAAAAGTCAAAAAATTACTTTTGATGAACTTGCAAAGCTTAAACATCCTGACTCTTGCTGCCCTGGTGAGGATAGAGCACGCTGAGGGATGAACAGGGGGAGAACAGAAAAAGAAGAATGTACTCACTTTGCTGCAGGCTTTTGTGACATCTACCAGGACAGGGTACAAAGGGTTTCCTTTAGCCCTTGGGCTGCTTCCCACTGCAGTCCCACCCTTCCACGTGTCCAGTCACAAAAAGAAAAGCACATTTTGCAGCAGCCTGAAGAGCAGCTTTGGCTCAGGTACAGCTCAAACCCAAGAAAGGGGCACTTTACATAAGTGACAGCAAGAGAACTCCACAGCCAAGGAGGGATGGGATGGAAAAACAGCAGCCACTGCAACCACTTTTGGTCTCTGCTTTCCCTGGATCAGATGCCAGGTGCTGTCCTGCTGTAGAACCAGGAAGCTGTAAATATTGTTTTACAAATCAAACATGTGGCAATGGAAGTTGGGGAAGTGACAGCAGAGGGGAATGTGGTATTGAGCTACAGAAACCAGAGATTGGGCTGCTGAGCTGCACCCTCTGGGGACTCTGCCTATAAATTCTGGTGTCCTCCTGTTCTGGGAGCTCCAAGGAGATGGCTGCCACCAGGATCTTGTCTTGGATGGTGATGGTAATTCTTCACATTCAGGTGGATGCAGGTAAAGAGCCTCACTTCCAATCACCTTTGCAGCTTTATTTCACCTTGGGCTAACATTGGGATTTAGTGGTAAAAATAAATTTACCAGCATGGCTCAGCTCTTTTGAAAACCATGAGCAGGTCAAACCTATGAGCTGAGCAAATCAATGTTATCAAAAATGCTTAATGAATTTAGTTTTTTTACCCATCATTTTTTGTAAAGAGCCTAGTAAAGGAAATTAAAATTAATATACTGCAAAGCCAGTAATAACATTTTCCTATCCTTTATATTGGGATAATGGATTTAAAGGCTAATAAGTATTTTCTGGAATAAATACATGTTTATTTTAAAGAAGGTGAGGTGTACAAACTGTGGGGTTTGTGTTTGATTAGATTATAATGGAAATTACTGTAATTTTTGTTAGTCTAATTTCCCAGAGGCTAATTCCTGTTAGGATGGTAATTTAATTTGGTTGCAGAGTCAATGATCTGCCCAGCCACTTCCACCCCTTTGGGGACCAATACACCAAATATTGGTGTGTCTGATGGGAGTGGGATATTTCAAACAGGGTGTAATAGGCTTTTTGTATTTTTGTATTCCAAAACCAGTTTCCCCCTTTCCAGGTGAGAACTCCCTGACTGAGCAGGGTGTCAGCCTGGTGCCTGAAGAGACAAAACCTTTTTTTTTAAGTAACTGCTGCTGCTTTTAAGCAGCATGCAGGGATGAAAAAAACATCAAAAAGTGTTGCCACAGCTGCTGTCTTTCCACCCCTTCCTCTTTCAGGTGTAAAAAGCCATCCAGCCCCACAGACCTGTGAAAATCCAGGTGGTGTATAGGTTTCCCCCTGGATTATGGGGGATTCATTCTGCTCCCTGTCCTTGTCTTCCAGCTCAGGGGGCTGAGAAAACTGGTCTCACTTCAAGGCACTCTCTGGGCCAGCTGCAGGTTTTGGTGGGTTCACAAAGATTGTTGATGGTTCATGGAAGAAAACACTGCTGAGATTGACTAAAATAATCAGAAATCTCCTGGATCTCAAGTTTGTTGGCTGCAAATTGCTAGGGACTGAAACAGGGTTTGAGGAAGTTTCATGTTAAATTTGCCTTGTTGACCTTCACATATGCTATCTTATTTTTTTCTTCTCTAGTAACAATAGTTCCCACAACAACTACTGACTACACGACTCGTAAGTAGAATTTATCAGATGGTTACTTTATATAATAGTGATACAGTTATGGTTTTGTCACAGCATTTATTGTTGGGAAGGAATTAGTATGATTAAAAAGCCCACATTTTCTTTAGGGTGGGGATGGGGATGTAAATTATCTTGGATGGAGGAAGGTTCCTTCAACATTTTTTTTCTTGGTTTTGTTTCTTATGTTAACACTAGCAGATTCTCCAACAAAAATGCCTCTAACAGATAACTTTAAAGTTATATAAAAATGTGCATTGTTTTATAGAGTTGGCCCTGCTAAATATCCTCTCTCAGGCTGATGAAAACTCTTCTAGTCCAGTGGTAGCCAACACACCAGGGTAGTCAGTGTCCTTCAGGCTGTGGTCCCAGATGCTGAATGCACCCATGCAGAATCCACATGGCAGCACATACGTGCACTGAAAACACAGCATATAATTGAATATTTGTTACTCCTCTCACAGAAAGGATGAGAGTCATTGCTGCAATGAAGAGCTTCATTAAATCACTGCTTGGGTTAAAAGCTTAGGGTAATAAAGCCAGATTAAAAGTGTGGGCTGAATAAATGCAGCAGTTATTGAGTGTCTCTGAAATCCCACAGCAAAGTCATCCACAGCTTAAACAGACAAAATTTTGGCTGAACACAGGTTTGTAGTACACATTTTGGCTGGATATAGGTTTGTAGTACAAATTTTGGCTGAATACAGGTTTATAGCACAAATTTTGGCTGAATTCATGTTTGTAGACTGCTTTTCAGAGACCTGCACAGGGACAGAGCAGGACTCACATGAAATGCCGTCATTAATTCTGATTATAGGTTTGGTGCTGTCACCCCATCCAAAAACACCGGGAAAGAGATCACCTTTCTCGGCGTGCCAGAGCCCTGTCCTGCGGGACACCTCTGATCTCTTAGTGCCACCTGGAGGTTTTCCATCAGCCCTAGCAGGGAAAACCTTCTTTGACCCAGTTGGTGAAGCCAGCTGTGTGACATTGATGGAATCAGTGGTGCTGGGGGTGGAAGGGAATGAGAGGTAGCTTAGATGTGGTGGCAATGTCAGCAGAACCTGGGACAGCAAGCTTTGGCAGACCCCCTTTTTAACATGCTGTGCTCGATGAAAATAATGAGATGCGCAGCCTCCCTTGTCACTGGCCTTGTTCTGAGCACCTCCCCAGGTATTTTATGTCATCTTCATTTCTGTTGAGCTTTTTGTTTCTTGGCTTGGAGAAAGAGGCAGTTTTTCACAGCCTATTCTCATATCAGTAGCAGAGCTGTCACCTCCTGATCAGGTCAGGTGAAACCCCAGAGAGAATCAAAAAACTGTTCCTGCTGAAAAAGACCTTTAAGATCATCAGTTCAACCATTAACCCAGAGCCCCACACATTTACATGTCTACATGTGCCACATCTACATGTCTTTTACATCCCTCCAAAGGATGGTGACTCCACCAGTGCCCTGGGCAGCCAGTTCTTTCCAGGAAAAGGTTTCCCCTTATCTCCAGTCTGACTTGAGGATATGTCCAAAACTGGTCCCACTTCAAGGCACTCTCTGGGCCAGTTGCAGGTTCTGGTGGGCTCACAAAGAGTGTTGATGGTTCGTGGAAGAAAACACTGCTGAGATTGACTGAAATAGTCAGAAATCTCCTGGATCTCAAGTTTGTTGGCTGCAAATTGCTAGGGACTGAAACAGGGTTTGAGGAAGTTTCATGTTAAATTTGCCTTGTTGACCTTCACATATGCTATCTTATTTTTTTCTTCTCTAGAAACAACACGTCCCCCAACAACTACTGCCCCCACGACTTGTAAGTAGAATTTATCAGATTGTTACTTTATAATAGTGATACATTTATGGTTTTGTCACAGCATTTATTGTTGAGAAGGAATTAGTATGATTAAAAAGCTCATATTTTCTTTAAGATGGGGATGTACATGAAAAGTAAATTATCTGGGATGTAGGAATTTGGGGACGGCTTTGCCCTCCAGCATGCTCCTGCTTGCTAGAATGAAAAAGATTTTCTGTCACTTGTGCCCTTCAGTGGGATCTTGACTCGCTAGAGGAAGGGTATAAAGCACTCACAAAACCCAAAGAATTTGTTCTAATTCTCTTGCTCTCTGTGTGTTTTTTTTCTCTGTGTGTTTTTTTTTTCTCTGCTTGTTCTCCACAGTTCCAATCATAGCTGATGGTGAGTCTGTCTGCCATGGTTCTTGTCACAGCCCTGGGCACAGGAATGCAATGTGCCTGCCCCTGCTGCCCCAACCTCTCCATCCCACAGTGTGGGAGCTGAGCAGGGGTTTCCAGCCCTGGGCTGTGCTGCAGGTGGATGCAGCCATGCCCAGAGAGGGTGTGGGATGTCATTCCCTGGACCCAGCGCACCACTGGCTTGACCAAGAGGTTTGTGTCTCTCAGAGATCCACCTGAGGCTGAGCGGTGGGCCCAACTGGTGTGCAGGCAATGTGGAGATCTACTACTTTGGAGGCTGGGAGAAGGTGTGTGGCTACCTGTGGGACATGCAGGACGCCCAGGTGGTGTGCAGGCAGCTGGGCTGTGGCTTCCCTCTCGCAATCATGCACCCCTTCCCTCCGGGCAACTTGAACTCATATGTGTTTACTGAGGTGAACTGTACTGGCAGCGAGAACTTCCTGTGGCACTGCCCCTACAAATACCAACACAATGCCTGTTACCATGGAATTGCTTCTGTCGTATGCTCAGGTGGGTGTCTGTCTTTTGGTGCCATTTTCCTGAAGAAAATCCGTCCAGATTGAGGTGGGATGAAGGCTGCCCAGCCCTTGCTCTGTGCTCAGCATGGCAGCAGCAGGTCATGAGTCCACGTGGGTGTTTCAGAGGGGGGTGTTTCAGAGGGAGCATCAATCTCAGGTTTGCAGACTGTACCTGGGAAATCTGGGGTTTGGGCATCACTCCTGCACAAAGCAGGGTGTGAGGAGAAGGATGTTTTATAGTCAGGCCATCCTCCTTGTGAATCCCTCCATAACTTTGCATGAAATTAAATACATGGTCCAAGGGGAGCCAAGCAGTTCTAGTGAATCAAATCCTCTGATTTTCTCCTTCCAGACTCGGGAATAACAGTGACTCCAGCAACAGGTAACCAGAGATTTCTGTTCATATATGGGTTTTCCATGGGGTTTTCTTTCTCTGGGATGCTCTGTGTAGGCTGCACTTACAGACCCTGGCTTATGTCCCTAACATTCAGGGAGATGTGGGATTGCTTGGGATAATTTGGGATTGAGCAGCCACTTCTGTGGGAGAGGGTTGGCACTGGTTTTCTTGGTGCTGCAGTGGGGATGCCCTTGAGCAAATGCTGGCAGAGTTGGCACTGCAGCCATCTCAGTCCTGCCACATTGCAGTGCTGACTGTGGGCTTTGGCTTTCATTGGGGTTCAGCGGGGTTCCTTTCCTGTTGGAGAGGGGGGACTCCCAGCAGGATGATCCTCTTAGGCAAAACACTGCTTGCTCAGCTGCTGCTCTCTCCTTGCAGCACCAGCTGTCTCCAGAATGATGCCCACCACGCCGTGGAATGCAACAGGTATGTCCAGAGGAGCTGTGGGGCTGGACTAGCTTCTGCCCCCCACTATTCATCACAGAACCACAGGATGAGGAGGTAGGAAGGGATCTCTGGAGTACATCTGGTCCTACATCCTGGCTAAAAGCAGGATCAGCCAGAGCTGGCTTCCCAAGACCATATCCAGAGGGCTTTTGGCTATTTGCCACCTCTGTGGACAGCCTGTGTCTGTGCTCAGTCACCCTTGCAGAGAAAAAGTGTCTCCTGATGTGCAGAGGAATCCCCTGTGTTCCAGTTTGTGTCCGTGGTCTCTTGTGGGGCACCACTGGAAAGAGCCTGGCTTCTGGAGAGGGTTGACTCCCAGCAGGTTGTATCTCTTAGGCAAAATGCTGGGAGTGAACCCTGCTGATTTCTCCCTGCAGCATCAGGTGCCTCCAGCTCAACTTCCCTTCTGCCACTGACCACATTTAGGTCCAGAGGAGTTGAGGGGTCTGATTATCTCCTTCCCCAGGTGTCCCACTGGACAGCCAACCCCATGGATTGGGTTACTGTATGATCTGGGCTGGGGGGATGCAGGGGTGACATTTTGGGGTGCCTGGCAGGGGGGGTCTCTGGGGCTGTGGCAGAGTCTCCTCCTTGGCAGGGCCATGCCCTTCTCTGACGGATTCTGGTGATGGGATAAGATCTCTGCCCATGCCCGGGCTCTGCTCTTTTCCTCAGGGAACTTCTCCTGTGGTGGCTTACTTCAGGGATTGTCTGGCACCATCCAGAGCCCGGGATACCCCAACCCCTACCCTGACAACTCCTACTGCGTGTGGCGCATCCGGCTGCGGGACCCGGCCCGCAGGATCCAGCTCCAGTTTACGGACGTGGAGTGAGTCCTGCTGGGCTCTGGGGTGGCTTCATCCCCACTGTGGGGCCTTGGCAGCCTCTGCCTGAGCACTGGGGCAAGGTGGGAATGGGGCTGGGCTGCTGGGACCTGCAGCTCTGGTCAGACAGATCCGCCTCTCATAGTAGAAACAGGTGATCCCCCAGCCAGGAATAATGTGCTCTGACTCCATGATTCAGAATGCTGGACAACTGTTGTGGTTGTGAGGTCTCCAGGATGAGGGAAGAGATGAATCTGACTCCATATTCTTAGAAAGCTAATATATAGTATATTATGTTATATTATGTTATGTTATATACTAAAACTATATGAAACTATGGAGAAAAGGGTATATCAGAAGGCTATAAAAGAATGAATAATAAAAACCCGTTAGTCTTCAGAGAGTCACTCACCGCTGCCTTTGATTGGTCATTAAGTTAAAACAATTCACATGGAACCAATCCAACATGCACCTGCCACATTCCAAAGCAGCAAACACAGGAGAAGAGAATCAGATAATTATTATTTGCATTTTTCTCTGAGGCTTCTCAACTTCCCAGGAGAAGAAATCCCCGTGAAGGGATTTTTGAGAAAATATCACTGTGACAAACAATTGCTTTATTAAAACTATATTATATTACTCTAATAGTATATTATAACTATACTGAAGAGATACTATAATAAAGAAAAACCCATGACTGTCTGAGACAGCCAGGACACAGCTTTGAGTGACTGGCTAACCACTCAAAACCACTTTCACCCGTGTCCAATTAACCAAATCACTTTCAGTAAACAATCTCCATAACACATTCCGCATGTGCAAAAACAGGAGCAGTGAATAGCGACACAAATTGCTTTCTCTTCCTCTCTGAGGTTCTCGCTGCCTTCCCCAGGAAAAATCCTTGGGAATTGTGCCTGCTGCTCTCTGTGAAGAGGGCTGAGGTCACATCTTCCCCCGGCAGGCTGGAGGGCAGCAGCTGTCCCTACGATGCCATCGAGGTGTACGACGGGGGGTCCCCCCAGAGCGGGCGGCTCGGCCTCGTGTGCCGGAATGACCACAGCGTCTTCAACTCCTCGGGCAGCCAGCTCACCGTCGTGTTCCGCAGCGACGGCAGCGTCACCAGGAGAGGCTTCCACGCCTACTACTCCTCGTTTCTTGCCTTTGGCACCACTGTGGGTAAGGCTAGAGCTGTCCTTTACTCCTCACCAGGGCAGGAGCTCAATCGCAGTCACAAAGAGCTGCTGGTGGCTCTCAACACCTTGTGGGCATCCAGACCCTCTGGCCCCACTCAGAGGGATCCTGGCTCAAGGGTGTTTTTCGGAATAAGATGGCCATGAAGCTGCTGCCAGACACTGTTTCTTTGCCTGGTGGGCAGGAATGCGACTCTCTCCATCTCCCCCAGTGCTGCCGCTGAGCTATCATAAATTTTCCTGTTCTATTCTGTAGGCAGAGGAGTTGCTCAGCCCTGACACACTCATTGCTGCAGAGCCCAAAGGCTACTTACTGTTTTTCCAACATAAAGGGAGCTGATGTGCTCAGCCACAGTGCAGAGAACTCCTTTTGGCAGCTGAGGAGCTGTGGGGCAGCAAGGCTGGCTGCTGCTCTGCCTGCAGTGCCAGGCTCCCTCTGAACAGCAGCAGCACCGTCTGCTTGGCCATCCCCTCCTCCCAGTTTGATGTCACCAGCAATCATGCTGAGGGTCCACTCCATCCCACCTGCTGGCCTTTAACAAAGGAGATCAAGGCCCTGCTGTTGCACACGCAGAGCACCAGCTGCACCCTGGGCTGGTGGGTGGAGGGCTTGGAGCCACACAGGGTCCTGCAGTGTCCAGGCAGTGATTGTGGCTCTGGGGTTGCAGTGTCCCTTCAGGAGCCCTTCTGGGGAGGGTGGACCCCCCGAGGGCTGTTTCTCTTAGGCAAAACACTGAGTGTATTTTGTATTTTTTATCACCTGCTGCTCTCTCCCTACAGCTCCCAGTACTTCTACTCTGTCACCACCCACAGGTAGGTTTGGAGGACCTGGGTAAGTTTATGAATTGGATATTTATTAGCATTCTTTTTTTTTTGAAAAGAAATTATTTGATTTTTTTTCCTCCTCCCTTTGGTCGTTAGCAATTGTAATAGGGGGTTCCTCTTTCAATGAACATCTTATCTCCATAATTCCAGACTCAATACTGTCCAGTGCTGTGGAAAATATTTGTGTCCTGCTAGTGCAGGCACTGCAGATCAGCATCATAAAATCTATTCAGCATGGTTAGCATCTTCTAACCTGCATTCAGATGTATATGAACCTATTGCAGAGGCTACTGAAGCTGACAGAAGTCACCATCTCTATGTTTAGACATAAACTTCACACAGACATACTCCAAACGCAACCCTAGAGGTGCATACATATATTTTTCTTGTACTTTTTTCTGCAGAATATTCTTCTTGTGGTGGCTTGCTCTCCTCTTCATCTGGTACCTTACAGAGTCCATTTTACCCCAGAAATTATCCAAACAATGCCAACTGTGTGTGGGAAATACAAGTAAAAAACAACTTCCGTGTCACACTTGCATTTACAGATATTCAGTAAGTAAGAATTTATTACTTGGGAAGGTGAATGTGTGGGACTGACAACTTGGACTTACTAAGCAAAAGCCAACTTGATTTCAAGGATTTTTATCAAAGCTTTTAGTATGTCTGGAGAGGGAAAATGTGTTAATTTTTGCTTATTTAGTCAAAAACATGGCTGACATCTACTGAGAAGAAATTGGAAGCTGTAGCTTCTGTTCCGAAGATTTGACAGTCATATCAATCAAATGTATTCTTCTGCTTTAAAGAGAATAACCTGACTAAAAACCCAAACCAACAAGCAAATAAAAACCAAAGAACATAAAAACAAAGAATAAAACTAAATAGTTACATTGCTTCCTAGGATGGAAGGGGGCAGATGCCTCTCTGACTACGTGGAAATCTATGATGGGCCCCTGAACACCTCTCCTCTCCTTGGGAAGATTTGTTCTGGTTATTACCCCACGTACACATCGTCCTCAAACCTGCTGAGCGTCCGCTTCCACAGCAACTCCCGACACACATACAGGGGGTTTCAGGCCAACTATCATTCCACTCCAGCTGATGGCAGCACCAGTAAGTTCATCTTTAAAGCAGAAACATGCTTTTCAATTATTTTCCAGTTCATTGATTGTTAATCTTGTTAGTGTTCTAAATTAGGTCTGTAAAATTTAAATCAGATCTGTAGTGTTTTCGTGGAGATTGAAGTCCATGGTTTGGATTCTGAGCTCCTTCTGCCATGTCAGCTGCTTCTGCAAAATACAGTGTTTATTTAACCCACTATTTACCTTTTTTGGTCACTGCCATGAGCTTGTAACACATTTTGTTTGCCATCCACTAGCACTGCTGTGTTTGCCAGACTACATGCACGTGGTTGTGAGCAGATACTTCCTTCAGTCCCACGGCTACTCTGCTTGGAACCTCACCCTGAACGACCCCTTTTGCACGCCCAACATCACATCAAATTCTGTGTCATTCGACATTCCATACACTCGCTGTGGCACTGTCAGAGAGGTAGGACTGAGCGTTTCAGCAAAGTGGGCAAAAGTGGGAGGATATAAAAATTCAAACAGGAGAATTTGCTTTGAAAACCAGCACAAATTGAAAGCTACCTGGGCTCTGCAGGGATTGGGAGTCTCCTGGTGATTATGGGTTGTCTCCCTCTCTCCTGAAGGATATTTCCACTTGCATTTCCTGCTTCTGCTAACAAAGCATTCCCTTGCAGCCCGTTATCCATCTCCAAAGGAATAAGCTGTGGAAGCATACAAATACTTGGCATTTTCAAGGTCCCAGGCTGAGTGTGATAGCTATAAAGGTTTCAAAGTTTTGACTAAACATGACTAATAATCTCGTAGCCAGATTTCAGCTTAAATAATGTGCTGGACCTGAACCTTCATGTACTTAATGTTAAACAGGTTGTATTTAATTCTGTTATGTCTGCATTTATTGTGAGTAGTTTCCTAGGTAAAAATTGTGGGCACTGAATATCACATGAAAATTAAGATTTTTATCTTGTGAACAAAAATTACTAGATTCAGACTTTTCCACATCAGAATTTCTGGGAAATAATGTTTTTACAGTGCACACTGCTGTAAGCAAAGTTCAGAATGTAGAATAGGGCACCTGACTATATGGATTAATTTTGCATTTTATGTGCCAAACAGGGAAACAACAACACAATCAGCTATTCCAACGTTATTAGAGGGTCCTCTTCTGGTACATTAATCACAAGAAACAGAAATCTTCTCTTGCATGTCAACTGCAAGATGCTCCAGAACACATGGGCAAAAACGATGTACGTCGCGGACGACAACTTTGAAGTCAACGAAACTCAGTATGAGAGATACGATGTAAACCTCACATTTTATGACTCTTCAAGCTTCTCAAGGCCAGTGTATGACTCACCCTACCGTGTTGGCATCAACCAGAATTTGTTCCTGGAAGCCTCCCTGCACAGCTCTGACCCATCGCTGGTGCTGTTTCTGGACACTTGTGTGGCATCTCCCACTCGCCACAATTTTACAACAAAATCCTATCCTATAATCAAGAATGGGTGAGTTCTTATGAATTACAATTAGAGATACAACTGCCTTCAAACTCCTGTATCTCTTATTATTTTTTTTTAAATTTAATGGAATAGTGTGAATATAGCAGACAATAATGACAACTTCTAATTAATTATTAGACACGAGCATTCAGGGTTTATTGGGAAAAATGGGGTGGCCTGACCCAAAATATAGCACTCACACACACACCCCACAGCTTAAAATAACAAGTAGACTAAATGGCTGTGGCCAGCTCATGGTGGATTATTATTATCATCATCATTCTCATTATCATTATTATCATAATAGTTGCATACCTCATGTATGCAACTATTATGATAATAATAACGTCAGGTAAGGTTAATTTACCTTCACAGAACCATACAAACACCAAGTATCAGACACGGGACAA